ACATTAATACATTATGCTAATTTTCATTGTAAGCGCATAAGACAGTGCAAATTATTTCTGTGACAGTCTTTTGAAGTGTGTAAAGCTCCATTTTATCCCATACATAGTCAAAATATTGGGGGTGGGGATGATTCAATGGACCCCTTGTCAAATATTGGGGGGATATATCCCCATCCCCCCGGGATCTACGCCTATGATCTTACCGGTAACAAATCAAATGTTTACAAACTTGCTTGTGGGACAGGCCTACGTATCCTTGGCCCCACCTTTTGAATAATAATTGATTGATTGGTCAGTTGTTAAGTATGATAGCTAGCTGTAGATTTATATGTGTTGGTTCATAGCCATTTTTCTGGAAACACAGCATATAAGAAAGCTCAAGTCTTCTGCTCAATGTAAATTCACCTCTTCATCCACCACTACCCGGCCCCTCGGACCAGTTCAAGTTCTTCATCCACCACCAAAATTGCACTCCTTTAAGCTTAACTCTAAAAATGCTTATATAAAGTACCGTACTTGCGCGAATAAGCGCCCCGTTTTAATAAGCTCCCCCTTCTAATTTGAATAAACGCCCCCTCATTCAATCCTGGGACTGTGGATGTCGGCATGATATGAGGTGTGGAATGGAATCACATTCCTGTAGTCAATATCAAAATGAGGATATTTATCTTGGACAGATGAGAGCTCCATGGACAGACAGTATATTTCCAACTTTCATCTTCTTACATTTGTCTATAGCCTAGTCTTACTCGATCCCTAATTTTCCGACAATTTGCACCTTTAACACATTCTCATCTGAGTTTTCAAGAAAACCTGCAATGATCATGCTATCCTGCTAATTCAATCGGCCGAATATGGCCAACAAGCTAACCACCACCACTAATTTCATCTGATATTCTGCTGTTATGTAGGCCTAATACTTACTCGCAACATTCTTGTCATGACGAGCCATGCTCTCTGGACGATTATCTTTTCCGCCGCACCACCATTCGTAATTTGCGGTTTCCTGATGTCATATAATCGTTTTTTATTCAAAAAGTGCCTCTTGAATTTAATAAGTTCTCATAAGAACCCCCTCGATTTTCTTCTATTTCCATAAGCGCCCCCTCAATTTCCACTTTTTTCATAAGCGCCCCGTTCGAATAAACGCCCCGTTTGAATAAGCGCCCCTCAAAAAGTGCAAAAAATATTTTAAGCGCCCGGGCGCTTAATCGCGCGAATACGGTAGTCTTTCTCTTGTCAAGATAATCGGGCTTCTTCGCTGACGGTGGTATGGGAGCGGGGAGGGTTCTTGGATACCGCGCTGGGCCCGCCACTGCATGCTTGTCGTGTCCTTAACCATGAACCTAATTAATTAATAGGTCCGTGCCTCAACTACTCATAAATTGAAACAGACAGGGAACATAAACAATCAAAACTATCTTTTTGATTCCACTGAAATTTTAATTTTCTTTCAGATAACGTCTTTTAAGAAACAAAATTTCTTCAAAAATTAAGTCTTGTTTATTTGGTCCGTGCTCTTTCCAAGATTTTATAAACCGAATACAAGATACGTAAACAGTAATTCCAATAATCGCAATTCATTTTATATATTTACCTTAGTTTAATGAGGGTCGTCTATACAACAAATACAGTATAATCATTGGTTCTCTCATGGTCTATATACAAATCGTGAAACCTGGAGAGTGGATAGCTGATTTGGGACTCCTATCTTAGTCTCTTTAAGATTCTCGGGGGAGTGGAGAGTTGATTTTGGCCCCTTGAAGATCTATTTATATCCAAGTATAATTATAAGATAGGGAGTGGAGAGCTGATCATTTGCAACCCCTCTACAACCAAGTGTCTTTCTGACGCTTTGGGAGTGTAGAGCTGATTGCTTATGATCCTCTGCAACCAAGTGTCTTTCGGAGGCATGGGAACTGGAGAGCTGATCATTTGCGACCCTCTACGACGACCAAGTGTCCTTCTGAAGCTTGGTATAGTGGAGAGCTGATCATTTGCAAACCCTCTACAATCAAGTGTTTTTCTGAGGCTTTGGGAGCGTAGAGCTGATTATTTATGATCCTCTGCAACCAAGTGTCTTTCGGAGGCATGGGAACTGGAGAGCTGATCATTTGCGACCCTCTACGACGACCAAGTGTCTTTCTGAAGCTTTGGGGAGTGGAGAGCTGATCATTTGCAACCCATCTAGTCTACAACCAAGTGTCTGATCATTTGCAACCCCTCTACAGCCAAGTGTCTTTTGGAGGCCTGGGAGCGGAAAGCTGATCATTTATGACTCCTCTACAGCCACGTGGGGCTTTAGAAGTGGAAAGCTGATTATTTATATGATTCTCTGCAACCAAGTTTCATTATGAGGCCTGGGAGCGGATCACTTGGAACCATGATTGATGCTCAATCCATAACCAAGTCTATTAATGAGGCTTGGGAAGTAGCTTCTTCTAATTGTGAGTACAATCCTGATATTTGTTAGGATGATTGAACTCAAGACATCGGCAATGGAAGGCGGACCGTCAGCCACCAACCTCAGATTCACTATGGCAGCTGATTTACAATTTATTTAAAAGTGGATCAATAGAAGTAAATACATACAGATTCATCAAGATGTATTCAATTAGAGCATTAGATTTGTATGTTCTTAAAGACTACAATAAAATGTTTCTTTATACAATCAAAACTTAGATCTAAAAATCTTTATTCAATTTCTAAAATAATTCATTTAAACGTTGGTGGCGTTACACATCATGATGGAGGATAAATTTTGGGATTTTTAAAAATTATATTATTCTGGTTTTTAATAATTCGATCCTGATAAATTCAGAATACAAAAAGAACGAATTTAGAGAAAAGAGTATAAAAAAAATATAATATTGTTGGGGAATATGAATTTCAGTAGTCGGGAGATGTTTACGCTGGCACCATAAAGCTACAAGCTTTAGAATACCTCCAGTTGGCTATCTCATTCAATCAATGGATCTTCCCGACCGGTCAATAAACAGCTGACTAATCAGAAAGAGACCAGGAATACGCGCGTGTCTAAAAGCACACGCGTTGTCCCAAGATTTAACAGTAGGGAACCTTCGATTGCACGACGATTGTAGGACGTATAACGTAATGACGCCACTAAAAGTCATCTGCGCATGCGAGAACGTTAATGTCACCTCGTCGAGTACAACGTATTATAACCAATAATTAATTTCATATCGGTAACTTCAAAGTTATTAAAATTGAGTCATAATATTTAGGGATAATGATATTCTTAAATCATCTATAAACCCTTAAAATCCTTGAATTGGTGGCCCAACCAGTAAGCTTAAATTTCAATTGACTTCGCAGCTCTACACACTCCATAAATTAACATAAGAGCAGTTTTCTTAAGGAAAGGGGTACGATGTTTAAAGGGGTAAATTTCTCCTCCATCACCCCTCTCCCAACAAGTATGTCTTATTATTCTTTATTAAAAATGCAGCACCGGAAAATGAGTAATAGTTATTACGTCTTATTTTAATTAGGATAATTAACCCAGGGAACAGTTAAATTACAATTTAACTGTTCCCTGGTTAACCGGTAGTTTGCCTAATCTTTAGTACGATCACTTCTTGTAGATTAGTGAGGGTGTCCTCCAACCTTAACTTTTACTAAGGATAGGCAAAATTCGATATATAGAAGGTAAAATATACACTTTGTTTTAACAAACAGAACAATGTATGGTCTTAAATTTATGAACGCTCTATAAGAGAGTGCTGAAAACGTTTTATTCCCTGAGCATGGAAGCTAGAAACTGGAATTTCTCAGATTTTCCTCAGCTGCTACGAAGATTTAATTATGCTATTACAACGTACACTCAATTTCAGTGTAGTTGCCGTTTTGTTTTGGAAAATGACTATGGTGAGTGGGGCCTGCGATAAAATCTGAACCCTCGTCCTTGTCCAGCTTGCGATAGTCTCCATTAGCGGCCGGTCTAATAGCCGATTCGAGATCGTCGGTGGGGTCTTTGTGTGGTTTACTGGTGTCAGCGAAGGCGTTCAGTCGATTGTCGATGTCGTCTTGGTCTTGATCTAGGATGTGATAACCAGCATCTTTGCGATGCTGCGCAAGTACAGGTCCCCAAAGCCGGTTATGTCTCACTGAATTTTTCAGACGCTGAAATTAACAAGATATTGTATTGTTATCATCACATAGAAATCATTCTTTGACGAAAGACATTTTCAATTACATTACAAGTTGAGTAGGCTCGTGACCGAATTACAGTAATTCTGTGAGGTCATATCAAAGAAAGGCTGTCCTGTCCTATTCTATTCTGTATGTTGTTTTCAAACGTATGTGAAATTTGTCAAAACGTAGGCCTATGTCGAATTTTCTAAAACGTATATCAAATTTCTCAAAACGTAGGTCTAAATTGTCAACACCTTCTAAATTTGTGTTTCAAAAACAAGTCTAATTGTTGTAAAGCGTAGATCTAAACACATAGCATATCTACCTAAATATGATGGTCCAAATTGTCCCATTTCATTAATTGATTGGTATACTTTTGATGGCTATGGCGCCCCATATCTTACCTCCCATAAAGTTCCTCTCTCCTGGCAGAGGTAGAAGGTCCCATATATGATAACTGGTGCAATAGAGCTAGCCGTCATAAACCAGCCGAGCATTTCTGCCCACCAGGGAAACACATAGTCGTCTCCGTACCTGGCTGGGTTGTAGGACACGAACGTAAAGATGATCACAAACTAAGTATGAAAAATAAACATTTTGTCTATATCTGGAAAACTCGGAAAACAATAAACAACATATATTTAGTTCTGTCTCAATCAACAACTAAATAATAATAATATAATATTAATATAAAAAAAAAAACTCCAGTCGTCAAACAGAATGTTTCGTACACTTTCTTCCTTTTTGTGAGCTTTTAATATCATCATGTAAAATGGTTTACGCACAATATTCAACAGATAGAATAAATTTATATACATTTGAATGTGTGTTTAATAAACAGTTCAATGGCGCCATCAACGACGAATAAAGTTCATTGTTGACGACTAATAGTGAATTATTTCGAAATCGAAGTACAGTAGTATGAGTAATATGACATAAAAAGACATTAGAGTAACACATTACTTATTTTGTGGATATATTATTATAAACTGCATCGTGACAAAAAAACTATTAACAAAATAAGTAAGGAAAAAGTAGTTACCATGAGAAGGAGAGGGGCTACTACCATCCAACAGTATTTCCAATAAGCGTTCGGTCGGAAACCAAGCATAGCTGTTATGTCTTGGAGGTAACGTTCCACACCTTATGTAAGGGATTTATAAGTTCAACATCAATTTTTGATTACAGATAATAATTGTATTTGAGATTAAATCATTATCACAGCTACAGTCGCCACTATCATCTAGCCCGCAGCTCATCATCACCACGGATATTATCATCACTATGGCATGAGCATCCTCATAATCATAATCATCTTAACCTCCACCAACATCGTCATCGTCGACGTCAACATCATCCTTACTATCACCATTTTCAAAACTGTCAGCAGGTATCTCTATCATCTCATCACCACCACCACCATCATCATCATCATTTTTTTTTCTTATTAAAGAATAGTTTATATACTTTATATATATAAAAAATTGTATATTTATTTTTCCATTCTATATTCTAAACCACACTTAAGTCAATTCACAATGTAAATGTTAGTGACCTACCATATACGTAAGAAATTACAATGCATTCTATGAAACCAAACAGAAGCAACGTTAGACCAGCCGAGAACGTATTCATCAGTGTAAGTAGGTATATGCCACCCTGATGTGAAAAAGCAATGACGTAATAATTATAATTCTGATGAATCACACTGAACTGAAAGATACTTGTAGCTCGGAAGGCACACCGATTCGCCTGCAATGCAATCGGCGAAGTTGAACCAGGCCCACCTTCCCGACAACTATCGGTGATTGTCGCCGACAGGGTGAGCGATTCTATGGAAACCGAGCTTAAGTTACAGTAACTGAATGGACCTTTCCAGAGTGTCAACTTTAACATCTGACCAATCAGGGCCAGGAATACACGTGCGTCTCACAAACACATGTGTTTGCGTACGTTTTCACGCTGTCGTTTTGTGGGACCATAGCAACATATCAAAGGTGGGGCTTAGCGGAAAGTTCCATTATTTTATCGTTATGAAGACGATGAAAATTAATTCATAACAAAAACATAATCATTACCGGATTTACTCATATCGACGTGCATGGCACTATAATACTACTATCTATATCCTTGTAGTTTGCCCATATATGATACCGATGACGTCATATCTCACCTATAGGCCATATACTGGGCCAATCACAGGTAACTGCCACATAAAACCTGATAGTGCGCATATTTTCCAGCACAATGTCAACATCATAAAACTGGGCATATTAAAATATTACAATATTTGGATAAAAAGGGCGGGAAAATATCTGTTTACCTGGGTTATGAGAGGCAATCCCAGAATGCATAAGAAGACGGATATCACCAGTGTGACGTAAGGTTTCCTCTTTCGAATGCTTGGATAATGCGTTTCAACGTCGTCAACAATGCCGGTTATCACAGTCTCTAGCATACATAGCTAGGAATAAACACACAAAAAACAATAACAATTGTCAACTTAGGCCTAAACACACTCAGGTCAAGGGGAAAGACAAAAAAAAAAAAATGGTAGCAAGCGATCGAGACATTCAGAGGCATTTGATGAGTGTGGATAATCGTAGATTGAGAGTTTGTTTTCCTATAGGCCTACTGCCTGTATATGTGACATAGAGACGCAATTTATATGTTATAGACCTACAGAAACGCGTACCGGTGAGTGTATACCGGTATCTGTTCTTGGCGCATGAGAGCGTCACACAAATACCGTACACTGTCACGGGAACGTGTCTACTGCTTACTTGTCACCTATTTTGGTTAGTTTAGCCATGGACATATAATTAGGCTATTAGTAAAAATAATTATTACTCCATGGTTTGGCTCATTTCGCAAACGTAGTTTTATTCTCGTTCAAACGCATACACTCGAAATGTACCCACTGAAACTTTTAATTCGCTAGAGGAGCCCTTACTCATATATCGTGCGAGTCGTCTTTTAAGTTTGACTCCGGGTTTATTTCGGGACACGAAGCGCAGTAGTCGGATTACCATATCAACAAGACCTTCAAATGCGTAAGCATATTTATATATGAATATTCAGTGCCTCAGTATTATCTATCATTTAAATATGCTCATCTCCCTTAACGGAGCAGGGCTCCTAACCTCTTTTGAATACAGCTGAACACACATACATCGGCCAGGAAGATGTAAAAACTTAATGTCACTGCATATGCCTATGCCTGTACAAGGAAATAACATTTTCTATAATTTACGTCGTACGGCAAAAGAAAACACCAATTTTCTATAGAGTAGATTTATTTGAAACCAATTAATGATGCATATCCATCCACATATCAATATCCATCAGGGAACAGTAAAATTACATTACATATTCCCTGATATCCATGCATTGATCATGTTACAATAGCAACAAGGGGCCGAAATCAATTATTCCCTAAATGCCCGAAATCAATTATTCCCTAAATGCTAATGCGTCTAACTGCCGTCAACTGGTAGACGGTAGAGCACGAGTTTTATATATTATAACCACCGATAAATGTTTTGTATGTTATAATTGTACAATCAAGTTACATGGCCATGGCCTTAATAAAGGCCTATTAATAATTAAATTTACGCGTGATGGACCGGACATTACTTTAATAAGATAGCCATCCATGTATATATACGAGAGTACTATTGTTTATGGTTGTTAACTTCGTCTGTTGGCGGTTAGCTGAAGCAACCATGTTGACGGTTCTTGACGTTTGTTGGTGCTGGTTGACGCATGTATACGTTAATTAGTTTAACTGTTAGACGTAATGGATTGACAGAGATTATGGGTGTCCCATATATAATTCATTCTATGCAATACATTTGTTGGAAATATCATAAACACTACACCTAACGCATTCGCATCATCATGAATGATATAAAGAAGGAGCAACAAAAAGTAAACCGAGTAAAATAGGACCCAAGAGCGAGAAGAAAACAGCACCAGAAAAAGATAGTGAATCATCACAAGGGCGTAAATTTACAGAAAATGTAATTAGCCTATCAATAAATGATAAGATAGACCTACATGCGTTTAGTAAATGGTTTTCGGCTGACGATGAACGTGCCAACTATTTGATTGAAGCAGTCAATAAATATTACACGGGACACAGTAGACCTAAGTCTAAGCGCGATTATTATACGTAGAGAAAAGCATAGACCTCACATTTACTGCGTTGCTTTAGAGTACGATTTTGAAGGCAGTTTAAAAAAATATTGGAGATTCTGCAAAGTTGGTTTCACATCTGATAGTAAGTCTGATTGGGCGGCAGGTGTGAAGAGAGATATAGAATGCGAATAAGTTAGGCCTATAAAAGGCCGATGTCGTGTTTCGTCTACCAATTAGCGTTATAGATACATCTGAAAATTATGATATTGGAACTTCCATACACAACAGAATGGGCACTGACACAAAAATCATCTTGTATTTCTAGTATCTTTGGTTTCGGGTGGCTTTTGTGAGCCTTTGCAAGTAAAGTTTTAAACTAGATTATATATTTAGCAATTACAACACAATGTGGTAGTGAGTTCCATTCATTTATTGAGCGTACAGAAAAAGCATGTCTGTGGTTAGTTGAAGCAAACCTGTTGACGGTTATTGACGTTTGTTGGTGCAGGTTGACGCATGTTGACGCTAATTAGTTCAACTGCTTGACGTAATGGATCGATAGAGATTATGGGTGTGCCACATATATGTGCCATATATAATTCATCCTACGCAATGCGTTTGGTAGACATAACATAAACACTATACCTAAAGCATTCGCATCATCATGAGTGAGAAAGAAGGAGCAACAAAAAGAAACCCGGGTAAAGTAAGACCCAAGAAGAGGGAGAAGAAGACAAAACCAGGAAAAGATAAAGAATCATCACGAGGGCATAAATCTACAGAAGTTGTACCGGCAATTAAAATATCAAAAAACGACAAGATAGACCTATGTACGTTTACAGAATGGTTTTGGGCTGACGATGAACGTGCCAACTATTTGATTGAAGCAGTCAATACAAATAACACGGGACACAGTAAGTCAAAGCGCGATTATATACGTAGAGAAAAGCATAGACCACACATTTACTGCGTTGCTTTAGATTACGATTTTGAAGGCAGTTTAAAAAATTATTGGAGATTCTGCAAAGTTGGTTTCACATCTGATAGTAAGCCTGATAGGGCGGCAGTTGTGAAGAGAGGTATAGAGAATGCGAATAAGTTAGGCCTATATAAGGCCGATGTCGTGTTTCGTCTACCATTTAGCGCTATAGATACATCTGAAAATAATGATATTGAAAACAGGATAAGAACATATATGGGTATTAAAGTCTTAAAAGATGTTGCGGATAAATTGAAACTTCCGTTCCCAACAGAATGGGCACTGACACAAAAATCATTTATTGACAAGGTTAAAGAAAGGGCTACTAAAGACGCAGACACATCAATTTTGGATGGATTTGAGGAAGAAAAATCGCAAATAAAAGCAGACGTGAAAGAACAAAAAACACCTTCAGAGATCACGTATCTTGGGACTAAGGTAAAACTACGTGTACGTCCCACAAAGGTTAATAAAATACCAACCTACGAAATTCTGCTGGAGACTCATAATCTTAGGTCGCTCGAACTGGTTGAACAATTCAAAAAGCTAAATACCGGTAAATCTTGAAAGGCTAAGGCATCATTTACATTCCTGACCCTGTGGAACAGCTTCAAATCAAACATTAAACAATGTGAATTTTGAGAAATAGAAGTGGCATCATTAATGTACATATTAAACAAAAGCGGGCCTAAAATTGAACCCTGAGGCACTCCGGATGTGACAGGCAACCACTCTGACGCAACACCTTTATAAGTAACCATCTGTTCCCTCTAGGAACTAATAAGAATTAAATTGTCTTATGGTTAATGAAATAATAAACCAATAGAATGTATGAAGTCGCGAACAAGGAGGAGATATATCCTTCTTTAATATACTATAAACATTGTTGACAGTGGAATTGAATTAGAGGAAGTTGAATAAAATCGAATTCAGTGAAGGCCGTGGCTTTGACCATGTGACCAGACTACCAACATAACTATACAGAACTAAGATGTGGCAGAGTGTACACCGTTCAGGTCTGATAGAGCTGAATGTAAATGGAGATCGGGTAGGCTGCTGTCCTAATCGAAGTTAAGTTAAATTATTTGGAAGGAGTATTTAAGATAAAAGAACACCCAAGCATATGTCTGATTGCCATGGGATGGTTGGTGTTTGTATTTGGATTGGAGAGATTTGTTTCATGGATGACTCAATAGAACATTCGTTTGTATATTTAGAACATTGTTTTGGACTCTTCGCTACCTCGGTATTGGTTTCTCCTCATTTCGCTATCGCATATTCGAATAATATTAATATTATTATTATTATTATTATTATTATTACTGAACAGTTGGTTTTAAACACGCATCTTTAATATCGAACATTATTACTATATTGTTATTGGACAGTTGGTTTTAAACAAGCATCTTTAATGTTCGAGCTCATTGAACACGAACCAGAACTGAATTCTTTAGTTCTTTAGTAAAATTTACAAATATTTATTTTTTAATTAGATTAGATAGTCTTCATTTTGATGAGAATAAACATTTCATTTCGTTTTTATTTTCATTAAGTTAGTTAAGATTCTTGTACTTTTAAAAATGGTATTTTTCAAAATTGTTGTGAATGTATAGACGTGTCACAAAAAATAATAATAAAAACACAGAATGGAGTTAGTTTAAGTATTTAAGTTGAATATTTTTCTTATGCACAATGGTGATGGCTGACTTCTTGTCATAATTTGGCAAAAAACTGAATGGTTTGGAGGGAAAGTTTCATAATATGAAAATAGACCAACAGGCCTAAAAAAGACAGGTTTTCCTGAGCCTGAATTGAAGCCCTAAGTTGCCAACTGTGTGAATAGGAAGCAAGAAGTAATGAGTATTGAAAATATAGTTATAGCAGAAATAGAATATAGTGAACTAAATGTAATACATGTACAGGTAGTAGAGGCAAAAATATATTTGTATGTAACATAATCCTTTTGCTGTGCTATTTATTCGCATATTAGTCGCCTGTTGTTTGAAAGCTATACCAAAGATACTAAAACACGATAAGGCACTCGCATAGCAAAATGAGAAGGAAATACGTCACATCCCTTCTCTTTTTATTTATATGCAAGTTTATCTATACTTGGTCTAGACGTACAGAGCGCCCTTCTGCTGCTAAGTAAATCCAGACATACGCCGTGCCCTTCTCTTTCCGCTAATGATGGAAACTGTTCTGCGATTTTTAAGTCTGTCATTTCTACTTTTTTGTATGTTATGGATAAGGTCAACGATTTCTAACTCCGCAAAAGGAGGTTGTGCATTCACAGTTATGCAGTTTGGCAGAAGTGTTTTGGACCCAACCGTAAACGGCGCCCCATTGTTTGTATTCCTACTAGACATTTCGGTGGAACAGTTTTTTTGTTTTTTTTTCTTCCTGTGGAGGACTCTATCTTGTGTTTCTAGTATCTTTGGTTATATGCTGCTGCTGTAAAGCCCTGTCCAGACTATCAAATTTTATTTGACAAAAACAAGTGTCATGCCTTGATATGTTCATGATGTAATCACATCGTGACCATATATAGGCACATCATGACTATATATGGGCATACAACAGTTTTTTGCCAAAGAAAAAAATATAATCTGGACGCAGCTTTAGGAAAGAGAATGCACGTTCTTTTTTTTTCCTTTTTTTTGGTCAGGCATACGTGCTTCTATATAATATACAATAATAAACAAAGCCTCAAGAATTTTGCTTGCGCACTTCTAATGCAGAGACAAATAAGTAAATTGTGAAGTTTAACATTTATGTTATGTTTTAAAATTCCCAATATTAATTAACCACCCCCTGAGGAATAACAGTTCTAAAAAAACATGTGTAATGTAATAAAAATATTCGAACCATGCTTCCAAGACCAAGCAGTAAGACCATGAAGAAAAACAGGATGGACCACATAGGCGAGATGGGCATTCGGGCGATAGCTTCTGGATAGGCCACAAAGGCGAGTCCTGGGCCTGTAAATAAAAGAGCGAGACTCATTATCGCCATCAGCAGCAGCAACATCATCATAATCATCATAACAATTGTTACTTTCGTCGTCGTCGTCGTCATAATTACCCTGATCATCATTAGCCAGCCACTGTAACGTCACATCATCAATCATCATAATCGTCGTCACAATCATTACCGATGGTATATTATTATTATTATTATGGAACACGGTATTCATTGAATTTCATCCTGTCATTAACTTACACCTATATGATAATAATGGTTTCAAAAACCGGTTTACCTGACACTACAACCGTTTCCACATCAACGCCGGCATCTTTCGCCATAAAGCCAATCACAGCAAAGATTACAAACCCAGCAAAGATGCTTGTGCCGCAGTTCACAAACGCAACAATGATGGCATCCCTTTCAAAAAGACAACATTAGCAGTGTTAATAGACCTTTCCGGAGTGTCAATCAAACTCTACAACTGACCAATCAGAACAGCACTAGGAATAGGCGCGCGCCTCACAAACACACGTTTTGTCCCACAGTACAGTACAGACGCACGTGTTTGCGTATGTTTCAACACGTCTTGCGGGACCTTAGCAACAATATCCAAGGGGCGGGGCTTAGCGGAAAGATCCATTCTAGTTGGTTGAGATCTTTGCCTTACTGTAACTATGTTCCTGGGTTTGTCCCTGCAAATACCAGGAATACCCAAGGTCCATAAAGGAAGAAAAGGCAGAAATCTATAATAATAAGTGGGAGACAGTTCCATCAATATTTCGGATACCAACGGAAAAAGAGAAAATACTGAGACCAAACATTCAGTTATTTCAAAGTGTGACGATTGTTTGTAATTTTATCTAGATGTTTTAGTTTTCGGATAAAACATGAAAGAATCATCAATAACTGTGCTCAATTTATATATATATATATATATATATATATAAGATGTGTATAAGAG